GGGAGAGGGAGAGGGAGAGAGAGAGAGAGAGAGAGAGAGAGAGAGAGAGAGAAGGGACTTAATTACTGCAGTCTGGACTATATTTTAAAAAATACTTTTTAACAGTTTGGCCCAAAAGAGAGGTATGTTGTTGCATGAAAATAGGAAGGTGATTTGGGGAGTAAATGCTTTTTATTTGCCAAAGTTCTATCAGTGTCTTCCCAACACATAATCTTGTTTTCCATCAAAATTTTCATATCTAATTATTTCGAACCAATTTTTTATTGGCAAGTATAATTCACATAATAAAAGATGAAGGAAAAATTAAAAGAACTGGTTTGTAAAGGAGAGAAATCAAATCTAATGACCTTGCTTTGGGCCAGGCAGTGTTTTGAAACAAGGGGGCAGGGTAGACAGAAGTGGATTCTAGCCAATGCTTGATTGGAGGAGCGAGAGTGACGTATTTTTCTTTTATATGTTTATATTCGGGCAGAAGAAGGCATGCAAGCAGTTAACCATTTATCAGGAGGAAGGGCTTGGCATGGGGTCTGGGCAAGGAATTAGGAAAAGTTCAGGTTTGAAAATTTGACAGAGTGAACTCTGCCCAAGTAGACTTGCCTTTAATAGGAGTTAATGTAATAATTGGCCTGGGAGTTTTAACCAAAAAAGTAGAGGCTTTGAAGTGCTGGAAACAGAAAGAAAATCTCATGGCCGTTTTATTAGCTCATATGATCAGCAGCAGATGATAAATGACAAATAGGTCCAGAGCCTTCTGCGGTCCCGTGAAGTCCTGAACGTTGCAAATAAYTGAAAGTTCAGCCCAGCAGCCTGGGGTGGAACGGAGCAATAAAAATTGCCAAGTCATAGACACTTCTGATGAACCAGGAGGCTGAAGTCACTCCAAGTCTGAGATTGTTAGAGCTGGAGGGATCTTCAGTCTTCAAAACCTGGCCACTTTGGACCCTGTACCCAAGGGTACCTGGATCCAGATCTGCTGCTTATCCATCTGAGGGCCCTGCCCCATGCTGCCATCTGTTCTTTTTGTTAGTCCCCTTCTCAAGTCCACCTTCCCACTACATGCCTGTCCTGCCTGAAAGGGACATGGGAGCAATAACTGAGGCTGTATGACCCTCAGGGTCCTCTGTATGTTTGGGCTTTGATGTGCTTCCTACAGAAGTTCTCTCTCTAAAAACTTGAGGAAGAGGGCTGGGGTTGTGGCTCGATGGTGGAGTGCCTGCCTAGCATGTGCAAGGCGCTGAGTTTGCTGAGTTTGACCTCCCCAGCACCACATTTAAAAAACTGAATAAACAAAATAAAGGTATCATGTCCATCTACAACTAAAAATATTTTTAAAAAACTTGAGGAAGAAAAATAATACCCATTCTCAAAGGTATTTTCCCTGAGCGAGGGAAAAAGCTTCCATGCTTGCTTTTGTTTGTTTTGTCTACTGTGACTTTTCGGAGGTGACAGAACATTGAACTAAAAATGAGTAGTCCAAAATTGAGAGCTCACCCCAAAGTAGTAGGCAGAGACAAGGAACAAGTCCCAAGGGACTGTCACCTTCTTTTCCAAATGGCAGCATCCTGAAGTATCAGGGCACTGCCAAGGACCTGCTCTGTGCAGATTGTTCCTTTGGAACTTTGAATTTTCCTCTGTCATGGCATCTAATGTATTGCTCCAGAATAGTTTGCTTATGAGTCTCACTGGCCTCTGGAGCTCATCACAGCAACTCGAGGACCAGGCCACAGTAGGCACCAAGAGGGCTTGTTTTTGCTGGGCCAGTCTGCAAGGAGTACAAAATTAGTCCCTGCCTTCAGGGATATAGGCCTGGATGGAATATCTTGAGCTCATCCAAACTTGAAACAATAAAGGGCTCCTCATTAACTGCCAATGTACTATCCACAGAAGTTTTCAATATATTCAATGGAACCCCAGGTTTGAATAGAACTGCTTCAGTAGATGATGGAGCTTAGGCCAAAGGGTTCTACACGAGCCATTTCCAAAATGTGTGGGTGCACACACATATACATACAAACACACATGCATATACACACATAACACACATTCACAAATGTACYCACATGCATTCACATATGTACATGCATGTAAACAAATATACACAAATAAGCACATACACACAGATACATTCATACATACATGTACATATGTGTGTGCTTGCACACACAGATTCCAGTACAGGCTTCTTTTATTGTTGTTTTTTGTCTGTCTAGCTCTTTGGGTTTCATTGATCCCATTGATGTTTACTGAGTGCCTACTAAGCACCAAGCACTCTTCCAAAAATTAGAGACACAACAGTGAAACTAGGTAAAAATCCTTGCTTTTGTGGAGGTTAAGCTCTAGCAGAATGTACCACTTAGGATTTATTTTAGAAGAGTTGTGTCAGCCAGCCTCAGCAACTAAGRAGGCCCTAAGCAACTTCATGAGACCCTGTCTCAAAATAAAAAATAAAATAGGCTGGGGATGTGGCTCAGTGTTTAAGTGCCATTGGGTTTAATCTCTGGTACCAAAAAAAAGGGGGGGGTGTCACATAACAAATAGGAGGTGTTGCAAAAAAGATCTGAAAGAGATCATGGGCACTCTGGGAGGTGCAATAAATGAGGCCAGAGGGAATCACAAAAGCAGGAAAGGCCGTTCAGAGGAAATGGGTTTGAAGTGCACCTAAAGGACAGGAGGGGGGGGGGGCATTGTGCAGAAGTGAGCAAGATGTGTCAGGTGCCTATGAGTAAACCTTTATAGAGGCTCCAAGGTCATGAGGCAGGGGGCAGTGAGACAAGAGGCCAGCTGGCAGGTTGGGGCTCTCCCTCCAGGCCCATAAGGCAGGAAGGTAGCAAACATGATGACTGAGCCCTGAATTGAATGAAGCTCTAGAATTCAACCTGTGCTATTTGGAGAACCTTTTACAGTAAAATCACAGAGCTTCGTGAAACTTACGAGACTCCCTCTGGTACCATCAGCACAAGCCACTCTGGGCTGTTCTTCGTGTTTCTCGGCCATGGTCCCATTCTGTATGTAGGACGGGGACAATTACTTTTTGACCTCTGATCAATAAGCCAGCTTGAGGGTGGCAGAGGAGGGGACAGTCACATYCTTAGGGTGTGTCACCTGGAGAATGGCTGCTCTCTGACCCCAGGCTTGTCGCCTCCCTTCTGCAGCCTGCCTTCAAAGGCCTCACCTTCACCGACCTGCCCTTATGCTTACAACTGAACATCATGCAGAGGCTGAGCGATGGGCGCGACCTCGTCAGCCTGGGCCAGGTGGCCCCCGACCTCCACGTGCTCAGTGAGGACCGGCTGCTGTGGAAGAAGCTCTGCCAGTACCACTTCTCCGAGAGGCAGGTCAGTGGCGCCCACGGGCTGCCTCACAGATGGCCCTCCTTTGCCACACCCTCCTCTCCCTTGTCCTCCTCTAACATAAAGCATGGCTGCCCCACTTCAGGGCTACTGGGTTTGACTGGAAAACTCCAATCGAAGGTGTCTATAGAGGGTAAAGTTGCTTCCCCCGCCACCCCAGGTAGTTTTTCTTTTTTTTTTTTTTTTTTTGTTAGTTCTGATCAGTTATACAAGGCAATAGAAAGCTTTTGATTCATTGTACACAAATGGAACAGAATTTTTCACTTCTCTGGTTGTGTATGAAGTAGAGTCACACCATTCATGCAATCACACATGTACCTAGGGTAATGATGTCCCTCTCATTCCATCTTTCTTACCCCTTTGYCCCTCCCCTCTTCCCCAGATAATTTTTTTAATATATTTATTTGTTTTTATGTGGTGTTGAGCATTGAACCTAGTGCCTCATATATGTGAGGCAAGTGCTCTGCCACCAAGCCACAACCCCAGCACCCCCAGGTAGTTTTGATGGGAAACACAAACACAAACACAAACACACACACACACACACACACACACACACACACACACACAGCCAAGAATTACTGCACCTCCCTGAAAATAATCACTCAAGTCTATAGCAGAGAAAAATGTTGAAGTGGATTATGAATGTGACCTAACTTTTAAGTATTAACAGACTAAATGCAATTTAGTAGAGGTCATTAGTAAGTTGTCACCAACCACCTATATCTTTCAAAGACTGGTTCAAAGATACTGTGTAATTGAGGAGAGATTTGAAGGCACTTCTTTATATCTTGGCAGTCTTTCCCTTCTGGCTATTGTAGGATAGAGAGGGAAAGGGGAAGGAGGGTAGGAGTAGAACTTTTAAGAACCAGAAAACCACAAATCATGCTCTTGACTAACTCTCCTGCAATTATTTTTATTCATTTGATTTTTAGATCCGCAAGCGGTTAATTTTGTCAGACAAAGGGCAGCTGGATTGGAAGAAGATGTATTTTAAGCTTGTTCGATGTTACCCAAGGAAAGAGCAGTATGGGGACACCCTGCAGCTTTGCAAACACTGTCACATTCTTTCCTGGAAGGTATGTGTTTCAGAGGCGCTACCACAGCCCCCTAGCCTAGTCCCCAGAGCCAGCAGCTCCAGGCCATTTCCTGATCTTTCCTATCTCAGGCCCCAAATCAAAGGGAAGGTAAAACTGATCCAGCAGCTGGGAAGGGAGGAGAAACTTTCCTTCATTTTCCCTCATTTCCTTCACCTCCTTATGTTTATTTTTCTCTGGAACCCACTCACCTCCAAATTCTCCCACCTCTGTGTGCACAGGTGCATACACAGGCAAACACACAGCTCTATCGCTTTTGCAGTGCTGTGGCATTCTTGAGAGAGAATTGTTGTTTTGAGGTTGGGCAGTACCTCATGGTGCCCAAACTCAGTGCAACACCTCTGAGAACTCTAAACTTACCACCATGTGTCTTTCCAGGGCACTGACCATCCTTGYACAGCTAACAATCCAGAGAGCTGCTCCGTTCCACTTTCACCCCAGGACTTTATCAACTTGTTCAAGTTCTGAATCCCAGTACATGACAACACTTCAGAGGGCCCCCTGCTGACTGGATGGCTACGAATACAGAGTTTGGACGCTCCATTTGTAAATAGTGTACATTTTAAACATTGGCCTGAGACTTCTCAGATAAGTCCTTGAGAGGACCTTGGAGGGGAGAGATACAATTGCTGATGGGAATTTAAGAATGTGAACTCCACATTAGAATTGGTATGGAAAAGCAGAAGTATTGTAAATAGACTTTTTTCTAACAATTTGCCAGCAAGACTCTAAAGGCAAGAATTCTCTGTCAGCCATGAAGATGGAATTCTCTTGATGTTCATGGAAACTCCTTTATAGTTCCCTAGGAAGAAAAAGGCAAGACTCAAATGCAGAGAGAATGCTCTTTGTTTACAATGTGAAAATCTGTTTAGACAAAAAAAAAAAAAAAAAGGAAGAAAGAAGAAAAAATACATATAAGAAATCATGGAGCTTTGGTTTTGATTGAGTTTGTTTTGGAAAGGCAAAGAAGCACCAACCCCGAAACCTGAGTGGGCATAGGCCTTATCCTATGAGACACCACACAATGGTCTACCTCTAAAAGCATAAAGCRTGATCTCTGACAACGTGCATTATCCAGTAGGCAGTGTCTGTGTTTCTTGTAAGTGTTTTCATCACTATAAAAAGTGATTTAAAATGGAAAGGATGTTGGAAGCAACCCTCATCTTGTTTCACACTTCCTTTTTAGGTAAACAGGGCCCTCTTTGGAGTCCCCTCCTTCCTAGAACAATCTCAAAGTACATGTGCCTTTTCTCCTTCCATACTGTAGTTCACTGGGGAAAGAGAAGGCCAATTAACAACAGTCCCAATAGAAATCATACCCCGGAAAAGATAGAATCAGGTACCCCATAGCTATAAAGACTTCTTTCTTCCGGTTTAACTTCTGGGCTTATCTGGGCTTCCTTGGGTGCATTTGTGGAAAAGTGTACATCTGCAAACTGATTGCAGCCCAAGTGCTGGGGCTTGAGAGAGACAGGTTTTACCTATCAGACAATTAAGCATTTTGCCACTTGCTCTTYCTGTCGTCAGGGTGATAAATTGAGCTTTCTTAAGTCCTTGAGACAACCTGAACTAGGGCTTTTTGTAAGTGTGATTAAAAATAAAGCCTGAAGTTCCAGCCAAATAGGGAGATGAGTTCATCTTAAACTGACTTCATGGCTGGAGAGTTAAAATGAAGATAGTTAAAACAAAGATCCCATGGGATTTTGCAAGGCAAGTATCAGCAGGTCACTGTGGAAGAAAGGAAATCTCAGGACTTCATGAGTTAATTGTCAGATATTCCTGGAAGAGGATGGGGAATGTTTTTGTTTTTTACTTTTTATAGAAAGTTGCTTTTCTACAACAGTGTACATATATTTGCAGTTGTATTTGCTTCCTCCCCCACCCCCAAATAAAGTCGCCACCTTGCATGCCCTCGGCAAATAATTGAAACGGAAATAGGAACTTAACTCACATTCATATTGAGGGACAATAAAGGTTGTACCTTGGGGTGACCCTTGAAGGAGGGAAAAGGTAGCTAAGCAGGTACAGAAACAAGGCAAGGGTCAGTAGTGATTCAGTACCTCTCCATGCCCTTCCTTCAACCACTCAGTCTGCACGTCAGCATTCTGCAGTAAACTCTCCAATGCTCCTCACTTTGTAATGCTTATACTTGCACCAGGATTTCTCCATATTTCTTTATCATCTCCCCAAAAAAGAAAAATAAATGAATTGAACTGAAATTTTCCATAATGAGAATGAATTTAATGAAATAAGATGAATTTAAATTTTCCCTAATGAAAAAAATCAGACATGAATGAATAAGATTGTGTTGTGGTAGGTTGAGCTTTGGAGGGCTAYAAACCATTGTAATAACTAAGAGGGTGTTTTTGGTTTGTTTTTCTCTCCCATATCAGTTGGACCTCAAGAATACAGGACCTGACTGTTAAATAAAAAGCTACTTCTTCCATAATTTTCAGGTTCTGTCAAATATCTTACTTTCCTTAAAGGAATAGAGTGGGTTAGGTGTGCCACTGCTGTGGAAAGCTCTGGTTTGTCAGCTTCAGGTTTAGGGGTTCATGGTCTTCSACATCCTCCCAACTCATGACCTCTGCTCCATCATGCTGACTGAAGAAAGGGAAAGTTCTTGGCACTTTCAGGTTTGCAATCCTGGGAACAGTGGCTGCTTTGGATGATTAGCACAAAACTAGTCAGCCAGGCTCATTGGACATCACACCCCAGGCAACAACATGCATTTGTGCAAAAACCGCCCCCACCCCAACAGGTAGTCAGTGTTTTTTATAATATTTACCAAGACAGTGTCTGTGGAATCTGCCCATGTAGTTTGGTGTTATTGGATGTGGTATGTGACAGTTGGACATTTTTTTAAGGATGAAAAACAAGAAACCAACATTTTATGGGTCTTTTTCATTGGAAGGGGAGAATAAGGAAAGAAACGGCAGGTAGAGAGGGAGGGGGAAGGGATAGAAATGGTGTATCTTCGATGCTTTGGTTTGTGTGGGGACAGTGGAAGGAGCAGAGCASGCAGACTATGTTAGACCACATGGTTTCTGTTAGGCATGGCCAGAGCACTACATGTAAGTACAGTGAGTTTAAAAGAAAATTCTTRTTCCCAGGACACTAATAGGCTCCCTATTGACAAATGCACCCAGGACAACCTGACCCAAAAAGCAAACACAAAGAATCCCTGTCTCAGAACTGCTGGGGTAATATCAAGAAAGGGCATGGAGATGGAAACTGCTGAAAGAGATAGAATACTCTACCCTCTTTAGTGTGCCTACCAGCCTCCCACACACACAACACACACTCTACAAAGCAGAACTAGAAATTGATGTTCATTTTGAAGCAATTCRGACTTACAGCAAAGGAAAGCATTCTGAGCACATCCATATGGATACAACGATTTTGTCCAACTCAGAGGTTCGCAGGCAGCAAATCTCGAGCCTCCCAAGAAGAAGGGCCAACATTTATAGAAAAGAGAAAATGTGAAGTTGAGGAGKGCTCATTTTAAGGCAAGATCCAGAAAAAGAAAGTCTAATGACATTTTAAACTAGATTACATACTTATGCAACACTGTTACTTTGATTAGATGAATCAGTTGAATGGGAGGGCAGGTAGCAGAAAAGAACAAAAGTTATAAGGTAAAAACATCCCCCCGGGGTATCAGTCCTGAGATGATCCTTGGTTAGTCATGATCAATTTCATATTGGAGTGGCTTGKAGGAGATAATTTCAGATGGACAGGGTTTACACTGCAAAATTCTCAATGTAAGAGTGGGTTCTACTTGTAACTGTGAAGTAAGGTAATGGGTGTGTATTATGTTATTGCCAGTTCTCATCTTTCTGAGCTTGCAGAGCTTGCAAGCTCCTTGTTTCTGTTGTTTTTATATGGGAGAAGAGAAATCTTGGAATTTCATTTTTCTAAGTAAGTGGTGTGATTTACAAGAAGATAAATCATTACAAGTGATGTTCAACAGTGTATCATTCTTAGCATTCAACACAATGTTTATTATAAAATATGCACCTGAGTTTATRTTTTTTTCTGCCAGGCAATAATGTCTTGATTTGCAAACACTCTATATTTTATGTGTGAATTTTTTAACTGTAATTTTGTGTGTGTGTTTTTTAACTAAACTCTATCGTACTTTTCTATGTTGACATCTGTTGTTGTTTTTTAATCTCTTTCCAACTATCTGAGTCTGTGAACCATCTCTTCTGACTGGATGCTGGCCTGCAACCCTATTAGTGCTTTAACAGACCTCAGAAACACCCTGAACCTCTAGGCAAATGCAAAAACATTCCTCCYTGATAAACCCGGGGTCCTCACTAGCTTCAACAAACAAGGTCATAATTCCTTTAAAACTCAATGTTTTCTTATGGAGGGTAAAATCTTTGTGGTTTCCAGATGAAGGAAACTCCTTCCTGAGACTTTAGACCTGAATGGTTGTCAGGGTGGAATCTGAAGGCCTTCAAGATGAGGAAGCATGTCCAGGATATTTAGGGGATGGGCCTCAGCTGGATGGAAACCTGGGGCCTGACCTGTGTCCCTATCTCTGGTCCCAGTCACCTGGTGGTATGGCTGGAGACACATAACACTTAATGTCATTCTTCTCAAGACCTGCACTGTGGAAGGTACTGGAGACTGCTGCACAATGGGCAGCTGGACATTAAGTCTTCCAAACCTTTTACATCCCTAATTCTTATTGGAGAAGTTAAGGAGCCACTTGATATTTATGCAGACCTCCAGTGTGAGTACAGAGTCCTAGTGAGGACAACCTACTTGCTATAAAGTATGTGGCATGTTTTGACAAATTCATTTTTCCCTTGGGTACTTATATTTTGATTACCCTTATAAAAACACAAGGATGAGCAGCAGCTAGTTTTCTGAACACTGAGGTTCTGATGGTAACCAAGCAGCTCTTTCCTCTCCTCTTCCACTAAGGAGTACATTTATCCCATCCAGCTATCTCCTCCTCCTCTAGCACCAGCTGCAAGTTACATGGAGTCTGTAGCCCAGGGGAAGTTCTTTCTCTATTAAACCTCCTCTTCACTTAGCAAACAGTCTATTCCATGAGGCAACAAGGAAGGAGCAAGGGACCATGATATTTGTGACTTTGTATGCTAGGCCTTTTCCAAATGTCTTTGAACTTGGCAAACAAAGCTTCCTGGAAAAATCTCTCAAAACTGAGTCCTGCTCCATTTGGCTCACAATGGATGGCTGCTCCAAAACTAAGAACTTCTTGAAACTCCATCTGCTCCATTACTTCTGGAATTTGAACATGACTTTTCTATCTTTGAATATAGACAACTTTGTTTAATTTACAATGCACACATCTGTTAAACAGAAGGCTCCAAACCCTGCTGTACGCTTGGGAGCCTTTGGCGCCATCTTTGGTCTACTGTGTGCCAATCACCCTGGCTGAAGGGGGTGTRTATGATAGTCCATGTCCTAAGCCTAGAAGCTTTAATGTACTTTTTTAGTGAAAAATAGTAGAGTGGGTTGAATTTAAAGTGTAAATTAGACCGATTACTTGCAAACATGCAAAGATGTTTATTTAATATTGCGTGAGCTGAGTCCTTCTGTATAAATTATTTGCACTTTTCTTGCATGATGAACTGATTTTTTTATAGTTGTTTGTACCAGACAGTGGCATATTTTTGTAAAAATTTTTGACACTCTATTGCAATAAATGTTTTCCAAAAACACACACTGGTSTATTTTTGGAGTGTGTCAATTCAAGTTGGATTTTTATCATAACAAAAATGTTTATATTTTGCCTATTGAGACTTATACTCCTTCTCCCAGAAACTTGGTACCATTGTTGTAAAATTTCTGGGAATACATGAAAAATAAGCCTGTTGCTGAATACTGACCAGAGACCATAATACAGCCTGTACTTAAAATAGTATATTTCCATTCACTGTTTGTGTAGTGGAATGACTTGTGAATGGTGAATTTTGAAGTCAATGTCACCAATGGAAATTTATGAAACAGCAACTATATGCTAGACCTGTGCAAAGCACCACGAGTGTGGAGGGGGACACTAGCCAAGGAATACAAGCAGAAAGGCACAGAAAGGGATTCTCCCTGGAGTCTGCAGAAGGGAACAGTCCTACTGACATCCTAACATGGGCCCAGTGAGACCATGTCAGATCCAACTTTCTAAAYTACAAAATGATTTTGTGCTATTTTAAAATGTGTGGTGATTTGTTCCAGAAGTGACAGGAAACTAACAGCTTCTCTGGCAGATTCCCCACTACATGTCCACACCTAGAAAGCTTTTCCCTATCAGCTCTCCCCAGTGTGGGTCCCTGCCACTCCCACAGGAAAATTCTCACTCTTCAGCTACATGGCCCCCACCCAAAGGTGGCCAAGGCTCTGCCAGAAAATACAGGRTACAACCATCTTCACAGCCTAATTTCAGCAGCAAGKTTTTTTTAAAAAAATTATTTTTGTTTGTTTATTGTTGTTGTTGTTTTGTTTCTTGACCCTTAGAGTACAGAACTGAAAGGCTAAACAGGGATCAGCCTCTGTCCGTGGTAGATGTCCTGTTCTTCTTCCTGTTTTACATAGGTTTCATTGAGGATGACGCCAATCCTGCTCCTGCTCAAGAAACACCAGAGAAGCAGCTTTGCAGATTCTTTCCAGTGAGCGATRTTCATGATGAAGCAGTATTGTGGGCACCAGAGTGTGAGCTCAGCCCTAGCCCTCAAGGGACTCACCCACATGGTGGGAAGTGGGGGCAAGAAAATGTATGTCAGCTACAACACAAGATCTAAAGTTTCAAGTGTCCAGGTACAAAGTACTAGAGGAAGCCAGACACAATGACACACGCCTGTAATCCCAGTGGCTCAGGAGGCTGAGGCAGGAGGATCTCAAGTTCAAAGATAGCCATAGCAACTTAGCAAGGTCCTAAGCAACTCAGTGAGAACCTGTCTCTAAATAAAATACAAAAAAAGGGCTGGGTTGTGGCTCAGTGGTTAAGTGACCCTGAGTTCAGTCCCAGTACCAAAGAAAAAAGAAAGAAAAAAAGTACTAGAGGAGCTCCAGTAGGAACAACAGGAAGAACTGAATCCATGCTTCTGGAAAGGAGAGCAGTGTGGGATGAGAACATAAGCCCAGAACACACTCTTCCTGAATCCCTGTAAGTAAAGTTTCCTCTTTGGAAACTGGAAGCTAGAGGCAGAGCCTGAGAGTTACCACTCAAGCCCATCTGGTGATGTTAACAGATGTCTTGGGGCAGGGAGCACTCTGAAGTTTGGACAGATTTCCCTTCTGGAGGGAACTGTATCTCTCTATATCCCCTGGGGTCTCAGTGCCAGAGCCTTTCCAGTGTTGTAGAAAATTAACACAAGCCCAAACTCTCTTCTAGCAGTTCTGTAATAGTTCGGGGTCAACTTGGCTAAGCCAAAGTACCCAGTTGTTTGATCAAACATCAGTTTAGATGTGGCTATGAAGGATTTTTTTAGATGTGGTTACCATTTAAATAAGTAGACCTTGAGCAAAGCAGATCACCCTCTAAAATGTGACTGGGCCTCATCCAAGCAGTCAAAGGCCTTAAGAGAAAAAATCTGGGGCCCCTCAAAGAAGAAAGAATTTTGTCTCCACAAAATACTTGAAACTGCGACATTAGCTCTTTTTTGGGTCTTCATACTTTATATGGCCCTTTATACTTGAAACTGTGACATTRGCTCTTTTTTGGGTCTTCAGACTGTCAGCCTACATGCAGATTTTGGACTTGCCAGCCCCACAACTGCATTAGCCATTTCTTAACAAATATAGATATATATGTGGGATGTACATGTATTTATATTAAAGAATAAAATTTTACTGTAAGGAATTTTATTCTACTCTGACTATAGAAGAACAGTTACGTGTGTGTATGTTTCTACATACACAGAGGCAGAGAGACTCATCCTACTGATTGTTTCTCTGGAGAACCCTGACTAATACAGGATCCTAGAAAAAGAACAAGGGCAAGGAAAGTCTAAAGAAGGGGGAAGGAGAAAATCCAGAGGGAGAGCAGAATCTAGTGGCTATAAGAGGCATTTGTCCAATGACCACATCCTGAGAAGTCATGTTAGTAGATGCCAAAGAGCACAGTAAAAGAGTCATTCTTTACCCACATAAAAGTGTTTGTGCGGCTCCCCCTTCTTGAATTTTTTTTTTTGAAATATGCATTCAATAGTTTTGATTATGTTTTACTATTCAGCTTTTTCTTAATTTCAAAATGATTCTGAGGAGTTGGGCTTCCTTGAGAGAGGTAGCACAGCACTGTGGTCAAGAAGAGCGCAGGCTGAGAAATTCACGGCCACTTCCCAGCTGTATTGGACAGCATGCTACAAACCTTATGTGCCTTTCCCCTCATCTGCAAAATGGGTGTGACCAGTGTCTGTAGCCTGGGCTTGCTGTGAGGAGTAATTGAGCTGATGTGTTTTATATGATTAGATACRTTCTGTGCAGTCAGAGCTGCGCTGGACACAGAGTAAGCTTTATGAAAGAATTTGTCGTTATTGTTCACTAGATCCACTTTCCATTTCCTGTTTTGCCTTATGTGCTCTAGAGAAGGAAAAACCCCAACCATGTAAACTTTACTRCCTGTAAAAAGTATAATGATTAAATCAATGGCCTCCACAATTCAAGTCTTTGCTTATTACTTAAACCAATGGTCTCCAACCAGCTCATCAGAAAACATTTTTTTTTAAATACTAGGGATTGAACCACTGAGCCACATCCCCATAATARTTTTTGTATTTTATTTTGAGACAGGATCTTACTAAATTGCTGAGGGCCTCACTAAATTGCTGAGGCAGRCTTTAAACTTGTGATATTCCTCTCTCAGCTTCCTGAGCAGCTGGGATTACCAGAAAACATTTTTATTAGTGCATATTAATTATACAAAACAATGGGTTTCATGTGGCATATTAGTATGTGCATAACATATTTTGATCATCTTCATCCCCCATTACCCTTCTTATCCTCCCCTCCTCCTGATCTCCTTTTCTCTAGTCGTTCCTCTACAGAAAACAGTGTTTAAACCTAAGCCAAATATGTCTCAACTGAAAAGCTGCAAAATTTGACCCAAATGTCAGCAGCAGGGGAGTCAACTCTTTATATCATTATGGAACATAAAGAGTTCTATAATATAGTTGGG